GGAACATCCCACAGGAGCATAGGGGGCCCCCCCCGCATGCTTGGTGGCAGACCCGGAAGTACTTCTGGTCCACTGGTCTGCCACCGAGCACATGGGAGAGCCCCTCTCCTGCGTTCCCCTGGCTCAGCAATCGGCCGCAGGGGCACCAGACCTAGGAGGCACCAGTCGCCAAGCCAAGGGCAGGGCCCCCCCCACACACTCCATGACAGACCTGGAATTGGACCAGAAGTGCTTCTGGTCCACTTCTAGGTCTGCCGCTGAACATGCTGGGGACTCCGCGACACTCCCATGGGACACTTCATCCGCCCCACCATCTCAGTGTTCATGAGCTGCCTGGTACCTTGAGGTACATAGAAAAAAACATATTAAGCTGTGTCTATGTTCAGATCATCGAATCTCTCTGAATCTAATCGGAGGCTTCCAATTTGATTCGGAGAGATTAATGGGTCTCCTGATTCTATTCGGATTCGGAGATTCAGCCACCAAATCTCCGCTGAATTGAAACAGAGACCGAAGCTTCACACAGCCCTAACTGTTAGCAGAATACGTATAACCTGGAGCCATGTTTTGAGAATCTTGCATACCACAGTAAATCACGAAGACATGCAATGCAAACCACTTCATCTAAAACAGGAAGAGATAGGTAGCTGTGTTAGTCTGAAGTCAGACAGAAGGCAGGTCAGGGGTACCTTAGAAGCTAACTGGTTTAGAAAGGCATAAGCTTTCATAGGGGACAACCTACCTCATAGCTGTTTCATAGCATCTGACAAAGTAGAATGTCTCCTACAAAAGTTTACGCCACTCTGAACGTAGTAAAAAAAAAAAAAAAATACGCTAGAATTTAGACATAATGCCTTTTTGCAAATGCTTTTGTATTCAGCATGCTTTGCAATAGCTTCTGCATACAGATTGAGGCCTGCTCTGCACATAAAATTTCATAACCATACTTATTCAGCGCCTTAGACAAGAGGTTACTAGGAGGCATTAGGTTTGCCGCAGTTCTGCTTTTGGACTGCGCATGCAACAGGGCCTTTGCCGCAGTTCTGCTTTTGGACTATGCATGTGCTAAAACTTGATAAGAAACACTAACCAATAACCAACTAAACTCGACCTGCAAGATAAGATGTAACAATAAGGAAATTGTAATGTCGCCAATAGTTGCAGGACACGCTGAAACCCTCTGTTTATGTAAAGCTATAAAAGTGGAACCTCGGACACACTCGGGGTCGACTCTGCTTTGGGTGACTCAGCCCCTTTGTCGATCTGTTTGCGCAAACAATAAACTCGAGGTGGACCCATCCTGCGTGTGACTCTCTCCTTGAGGTAAATTGGGCAAGCCTCCAGGGGCACGAAACTAGCCATTTGTGCAACATGAATCAGTTAGTGTCTATAATGCCTTCCGTCTAAAATAGAAGGCAACCTGAAGCAGACTCATAGACATGTTAACTGAAAAGCAAAGAAAAAGCAAAGCTGTTTGGTCATGCCTTAGAAAAGTCACGCTAAATACTACCAGCTTTGCTAGATTAGTGTACAGTGGCAGGCAGCCTGCCCCTTCCTGCCATGCAGAATTCTTCTGTGCGATGCCAGATTACCATAGCAGCATCTATCACATTCACAAGGAGGCAAGAATCCTTGCCAGTCTAACCCTTAAATCAGTAATAAGGGCCAGAAAACCATGCTCCATAGCATGAACAATGTGTGCCCCCAGTGGGGAGGGGGGGGAAAAACACGGCTGTGGCAGGAGCTCAATAGTGGTAAGCGGGAGCTCCTGCAGACACCACCAGCACCGGTCGGTGGCGGGGGGAAGAGAAGTGGTGAGCACCAACCAAGGGTTGGTGACCACCCGCAGACGCCGCCAGCAGTGTCGACGGTGGCCAGCAGCGATCGCGGACTGCCTGCAGATGCCACCGGCAGTGGCAGTGGTACCACGCCACACTCGGGGGGGGGG